AACATGAAATAATGAAAATATATCAGTAATAGCATTAGTTGTAGTGGTAATAGTAGTGGTCAATGTATATGCCTCTTCTGGAAAACTAATCAAAACCAACCTAGTTTTTATCCGTCTACATAGTCAAATATGTTTTTTTCTTAGAAAGGAAACCCAATTAATCATTACGAAAGACTGATTAAATTACACGACAGAACACTACATCATTTATCGTTTCAACTAGATGAATTCTATGCAAAGGGTATATATATATATATCATTTGTTTTTGTTCTTCCCCTCAACATGTTTGTTGTTTTTGTTGTCAAATATTAACTACCATCAGTACTACTAATATACTATTATTGTAATTCACTGTTAAAAATCATTGTCTACTTATCATCAGTTCGGTGCAATATTTAATTATATTATAATAATTGAATAAATTTCAGTGCATATACAATTCGCATATGATATGTATGGTTTCCCTTTATCTAGGGCTAATAGATGTAACCAGAATACTTATTTATTTTATCAATAAATGAAATGCCTTTCTTTACATTTGTTTTTTTTTTTTTGAAGGAAAATTCAAATGACAAACTTGAAATGGTAATGGTCACTGAAAAGTAGTTAAGGAACAAGAAAGCTGAAAAACCAATGATTAATATGTACAATATAGCCCTTTGAACTATATAACTTGACAAGACACAATTCATCATTTATATATAATGTGTATATAACAAGAATTTTTGTAAAAAGGATTACTTTTCATTAGCAGCTTATCTAAGAATAGATAAATGGAATTCTGTAAATTAAATTAATATGTTAGTAAAATGAATTTATGAAACAGGCTAGTATTTAAACAAAGCACTACTTTTTAAGAAGTTTTTCTACCACTGAATATACCTGAATATATGTAGTGATGGTTAATTTTAATCAAATATAGGAAAACGGTAAATTTATTTGAGTTATTTAGTGCCGTGTTAGTAGTTAAAACATTCACTTTTAAATAAGTAGATCATATGATTGAATCCTGCTCTATGTACTTCGATAGTTGGTATTCCTTTAGTATTACTATGCATTGGAAATAAGTTATAGCAGGTGAATAAAAATAAGAATAGCTCTTTAACAAACCCTAATATTAACAATAGTAAAATATTTGAAAGTATGATTATTTAATTTAAATCAGATTAGTATGGAAATAAAAATTTTAGACTCTAGGATTGAATTTTCGAAAAATATTAACATAAAATAATTGAATGTTGAAGTTACAGTTTGCAAAAATAAAAACAACTTCGAGAATTGTTTAAATTTACTGACCTATATCGACTTTCCTTTCAATAGTTCCGTACTGAACATAATATGTATTAGAATAGTCAAGATTAATGTATAAATCACAAGGGGTCTATTTAAAAATAAGAATTACTACATATAAAGGTGTTATAAACATGGGAAATTCCCCTCACAGATCTAAATACTGGTAGTTCTTCAATGAGATTTAAATGAACAGAACTTTTTTTAATTGTGATACATCAGAGCGGTTAACCAAGGTGAACGAGTAATAAATCTAATTCTATAGCTAAAGATTCATGAAACTAAAACTACATTGATGATAAAGTGATTTACTATTTCATAGAAGTAGTGATCCCGTAGTTTAAACATTCAAACGGAAATTACTGTATAAGCAGATAAGTTTAAATATTAAACCTGCTATGTAAATTTAATGTACAGACAGATACACAATTTCATAATTGACTATTATCAATCCTTTTAAAGCTAACACATGATAATCAAAGGTCTAGAAATGTATTCGACATCATTTTAAATTAAACAATTGTCAAGTGTTCATATTCGCAAAGAATACTTCAAATGTCTATCATATAACCGCTAGTAACTATTTATGGACTAATTTTGTACATATATTCTTATTGTACAACTGTTAAGAAACTAAACTACATATACTTATATTCCTCTTATTATAAGCTTTAATTTGACCTATTGATTACTGTTACATGATTTACTATTCTCAAGTTATTCTCAATCTATTAGTCAGTTTCTCATGATCACAGCCACTTTTCGGCTTGATCTTGTACAAATGTTAGTTTCTACTTTATGGTATGATGTAGTCTGGTTTGCTTGTATATAAACCACGCATGTTTGAAATATATAATTCGATATAAAGGAGACTGATATTTGTGTTATGGACTGGATTGGCTCGGTTAGGCGAAAAGATGCTATTTCAAGGACCAATAAGAACTCTAGGCAGCTCTCACTAGTTTACACGTCATTGGCCCGGTCAATAAGACGGTGACTCTAATTGGCGATCGTATCGCGTGGTATATTAACAGAACACAAAGGCCACAAGTTATAACAAAAAGAAATGAGTTTTATAATAAAACAACATGTGTATGAGCAATAATACAACTTCATCACACGGTTATTATTAAATAAAGATCAATAACATTTTATGCGTTTAAAGAACATTAGAAGCCGTATAGAAGGAAAATGAATTTTTTCATAGTGCATTTACAAAATCCACTAACAACAATATAATCTATTGTAACAACCTGTTCATGATTACTAAATTATCTGAATAATATGAAAAATAAAGTGAATAAAAAGGAATAAATTACAATCATTAATAATTAAGTTTTAATTTAATAATCAATAAAGATATAATATTACAAATTAACATTGGTTAACCATTTTCTTGATACATTTAATAAACTGATAGGATTATATCTATCATGAATGAGTTATTGATGCATAAATCAAATGAGAAAAGAAGATAGTATGCACGTATAACAACATAACCATTATCTGACATGTAATGTAAAGATTAATTACATCAAGATAGGAAAGATTAGAAAGAAACGAGCACATGTTAGTGTGGAGGACAGTGAGGCAGAAAAAAGAACAATGAAGGGCGCATAAATGTACATGCGAGCACATTACAAACTTTAAGAATACTAAATCAAACAAGATTCATGTTTAGTGTTTACACAATTTATTTTGAATTTATTTAATATGGAAAAACACTGAATTGTAAAGAATGGATATTTTTTTTCTCCTCGAGGGATAGATAACTTGTATAGCTTGTCATTATAAGTGGATGAAGTTCACTTGACTTCATTAAACTCTAATATCACAAGTTATAATAGTCATTATATGAGAGTACTATAGGCAACACAGATCAATTCGTAAGATATATCCAATAAATGATTGAGGATTTTACAAGTCTATCAATTATATAATTAATTTAACTAGTTAGAACAGGATATTATATGATAATAAATATACTTTTTAAGTAATAGCATACACGAAATTTCATTTAACAAAGGATGTGCTTAGTTGCTAAATATGATTAGTAGTTTTGAGTGATATTACGCTATTTGGATCAGTGTAGGTGAACGAAATTAGAATCTGTAATTTAGTGTAATTTAGCTGTAAAGCTCTAGATCAAATTTCTTACAAAATAATGTTCAAGAAATTATCTCTAGCTAAATGCTTAAAGCAATCTGTTTGCAACCAATGAGTCAATAGATTTGAACCTTCCCATTTGAGCATTATATCACCATTCACCTTCAAATTAAGCATAAAACATGGCAGAGAGAATCAGTTTTCCGGCGACTAGTGTTGTTGTTCAATAACAAAATGACTAGGTTTTAACAGAAAAATACATTTACTGCAACAATGTATATATCAGTAGCAATGTGTAAGTGTACATAAAAGTATTTGTGTGCGTATATGGATAGGTAAGCAAACCGTGTCCACCTACTTATATACGAACAAATCAAGTACATATTTATGAAAAATGTGAATAGAAATAACTTAGTATTAAAATAATAAAAAATATTCTGAGTATATATTATATTATGTATATGTATATATTCCAAAGGTCAAGAGATTGATTAATTTATGATATATATCTATCATATTCCTTTCATTCATTCAAGTAAGCAAATGACTAAGAAGTAGAGAGAAAATCAAAACAATCGAAGTTTCCAGTTAAGATTCACTTGAAGATAGTTATTTTTAAACGGCATTTTCACTCCACTATATATATACATATATATATGAAACAGAAACTTAAGTGTGGGATGGGGAAGTAAAAGATTGAAAAAGCAACAGGAGCAAGAAAATACTAAAACTACACATATGTATATTTTAAACCAACATATTCATGAGTTGTACAGTTACGCTGGTCATGTTTAACACAAAACTAAATCAATCAACTATTCATGATGTAAAGGAAATCTATAAAGCGTGGAAATTTTGGAAAGAAATTAACGACAGTTATTTGTAAACTTGTTAGGAGTGCTTACATTCATTAGTTATAATTTACAAATAAGTAAGGTTTACATTAGTTAGGATATATAAATAAATATAGCTTGTATCGACGATACAAGGTCCATTTGCAAGGTCATATATACCTTTGTTCTTTCGAAACAGTCTAGAAAACACAGTGAGATGAAAAGAAAATTTTGAATAGGAATAACGGAAACACAATAGTTTGAATGGAAAGTTTAAGAACTACGCCCCAAAATTAATTTTGAAGCACATTCTAGAACCATAATGAGGATTTAAAAGTAAAATATTTGGACTTACATTTATATGAAATATACAATGAACTTAACAATATTCTATATACAAATTTTGCATTTCAGGTGTACACCAAATACAGATTTAAACTGTAGAATAGACAACTTAGAAACACCTGAGAATTTAATTTCGTGAAATGATAACTAAACTACTCGAATTATATGTATAGTTTAAAAGTTTATTTTTATTTTCAATTCTATATGATAATGCATCAATGAGGAAAAGGGTTAACTATACAAAGTGACCAGTTAGATAGATTAAAAAAACAGAGATTCTTTTAACATGAACTATTAAGTAATGACAGTATATTTTAAATTTATCAAAACATACAGCTTCAACTAGTTCAATTAACAAATAAATGGACTTTAAAAAATTCACAAAATCAATATTTATTTAAATTGTTAACAACAGAATGACTTACCAGTTGTTTCATTTAAACCAAATTCCGGTTGTTTAGTAAGCAAACGATAATGTATCACAGCATTATCACCTTCATCTTGGCTAATCGCCTTGAGGCGAGTTAGCCTTTCACCTATAGGCGCCAGTTCTGATATTTTTATCCGATGAGCAGATGTGTTCACAAATTGAGGAGGTGAATCATTGACATCAAGTAATTTTATAGTAAATGTTGCACTCGATGTGAATGAAGTAGACTGTTCGCCTGCACTAGAATGTTGATGTGATCCGTCTGTTACTATAACAGTTAGTGTATGAACACTTTTAACTTCACGATCCAATGGTCGACTGACTCTTAATAAGCCAGTGTGTGATTCAATACTGAAACTAGAGTCATGGGCTCCAACGAGACTGTAGACTAAACGATTAGTATCAACTAAATTGAAAAGAATCAACAATTGAATAACAGGTAAATTTTATAGTCCATCAGTAAATTATTAAATATTTCACATACTTATTACTTTTAATTTACAGAAGTTATACGAAAAAGAATAAATACATGCCAATAAATACGTTTCTATTGGTCACTCGATGACCTTTATCAACAGCCAATAAAACCATGGGCCAATAAGAATCATTTAATAAAATAGACAACAGAGTGAGTAAATTAATTACAAGTGTAAATTCTATCAACTTATAATAATAATAATAAAAATATTTCAAAGATAAATTCATGGTTCATAACACCATTGGAGGAATATTTTTTAATCATTACCAACAGAACAAATATTTTACTTTTAGAAAATCACATGTAAATAGTAGACTTAGTACTAAATAAATAAAAAAACTAACAAAATTCACCGACCTTACAAAGTAGCGGTCATAATGCTCCACATATAAATATAGATGTTGAAGACTGCAATAAATCCCACTAAAAAAATTACTCCGAATTCCAAAAAGTTAATTAAGCATAATTTGACCTAAGTTTTATCAATCTACAGAATCTGTGAAACCAAACTGAGTTAGTTTCTGTGTTGTTTTTTCATAGACTTCAAATTACATCATATGAGTGAAAATGCTATTTTTTATTACAAGACATATGAAACTATTTATTCTTTGCCTAAATAATAAAAGTTTCGACCAACTAAATGAAAAATTCAGTTCAAAAGAGCTTTAGAACATTTTATTGTTGTTTTATGACTATTTGCCTTTTGAAAAATGAATTAGTTTGAAAACAGAATCTTTTAAAAATAAAAATTCAATGAATAAAAAAGACAAGCATAAATAGATAATTTGGAAAAATCTACATTAAGCTGAGAAAAATTGGAAACTAATCAACACAGTGTACAACAAAGTGTTTTTTCCATTTGTGGCCATAGTCCCAAATTATATACATGGATGGGGGGGCATTCGAATTAAATGTTTCCAATTGACATGTAATTCATAGCTGATTGAATCTTATCTTAAGGTAATGGATAGTACACAACAAGTCTAATGTGATATAAGTAACCATCATATTTAATATACTACCATAAATATCTGTGCAGATCAGTATTACTTGTCATCAGTGAAAAGGAAAGATTTCAAGAAATATCTGAACGACAATAATTAAATAAGTATCACGAGAATCAGAATATCATTCTGATATATTGCTGAAAGTGGTCAAAATGCAAATATCAGGAGTCGCAGTAAAGTGCTTCAGATTGTGTGCCAAAAGCAAATAGATTCAGGTACTACAATGAAATCTAATGTGATTTAAACTCCCTGATTCCATCAAGCGTATTTGAAATGTAGAAAAATTCAAGAGAAGAGAGTAAAAAACTAGATTGAAATGAAGAAGTAAAACCTAATACAGAAGAAAAAATAGTAATATTTGTATCACAGTGACTACCTCTATCACCGATTCGACAACTTCACTATTACAAGACAGGCTCCGAAACAAAACTAAAGTTATCAAACAGTAATACAATTATTTGTACAGAGGTTCGTGAAGATTTTTGAGCTAATACTTTTAAATTATGCAGTGACTATAGCTACACAACCATTGAAAACTAGAAAGTCTATAAGAACTGTACATTCTTAATATAGCACTCTTCAACACAGTAGTAACGTCCATACTATAGATCAAAACCTGAAGCTTTTGAGCTTACGGATGATAGAAATGTGATGTATTCGCGTGGCATACATTCAAGAAGCCGAGAAACGCAAATGAATGTCAAGTGGGTCAAAACTTGCTAGGAGAGTTCAGGTAGTGGGTTTAGAAACTAACTAATGAATATAGGATCCAACAGGGTCTAGGCTGTTACAGACTGAACAATCTATATGTTGAGAAAGAGTTTAAGTTTTGAAAGACTGCTACCAAATTCATTTACACCAGCCAAATATATTATTTAGCATTTTCATTATTGGACTTTAGTACACCAACTATCAGTAGTATTTACCTAAGAAATAATAGTCTTTGATCCATGAATCTGATTTCGTAGTGTCATTTAGCATGTCTGGGTTTTTTATGTTGTATACTACAGAATAGCTATTGTTTGACATCTAAAACGAATGAATGCTATAAAATATTTTAGCTGATCAAGATCCAAACCATGAACGCTCATTACCCAACAAAAGAAGCGCAACTTCTAAACTTGATGTCGCTAACGTCTTATGAATAATATCGACAGCTACGTTGCAAAATACATGCAAACTTTCGAAGTAACAATTACTTAATAGATAACCGTTCAACGTTCTATTACGTTGGTGCTTCTTGTTAAAATTCAGTAAATTATGTAGCCAGTAAGCTTATTTTCTAAATATTAATTATGCTATTATGATGAACCGATTACTTATTTGAAGCGGATAAAATAAGAAGGTCAAGGAAGCAACTAACAGAAGTATAAACAAGTCGACTAACAACAAAATATAAATTGCGTGCATCACTCTTACTATACCAACATAATCGTAATAAAAATATCACTTAAATAGAAAAGAGGAGAAAATCATAGTCTGATGATGTTAACAATTAATATTATTAATAATACCAATATGTTGTCAGATAAAATCAAACTAAAGTCACTGATTAAAGCAACAATATCTAGCAGAGATGTGATAAAAGAAAAAAAGGCGAAAGCAAAAAATTACAGGAAAACTAATCGAACTAATAAAGTTGGTGAGGGGAAAACGAAAACACACTTACAAAAAGGTCATTAAATCCTTGGGGGTAAAATAGTCTAACAAGATGATATCTTAATTAATATTAAACTGTGTATTAAAATGGCGTATATATACATAATTAGACTATAAAACATTATGCAATCAAGAATAAATTTATTTTGCAGAGCACAATAATTTGTAAGTAAAAAAAAGATTTTAGAAAGTAATAAATCTAACACGAAATTTAACAAGAAAGTGTGGTTGAAGACCACAGGTGTATAACAAAATCTTTACATACAGTAAATAAAATGTTATATACTGCAAGTAAAACAATCAGTACTAAGGACTAAATATACATGACATTTGTCATTATTCAGTGATAAATTAATATGAATAACCCAGCGATATAGGACGTCAATCATGGCTTAAATAACTCAGTGATAGATAACGTCACAACTTGTAAAACTAGCTGATATGGACTCGAATTACCAAAGACCATCAGTTCCCTAAACATTGCAGGTATAAACTTCTGATGAATGGTAACTTTCACGTAATTTAGGTCCAGGATTTTCTACTGACAACCACAAGCAACATAGAATATATATACTACTTTTACACATTGATTACCACAACACCTACTGTTGCTACCTTCACTATTACCAAACGTCAATCGAGTTTATTAAACTTGGTGCAAACTATCTGACGATTACAAATTACTACGTTCACATATGGAAATGTCAAAATATTAATTTTCTGAGTGTGTAGAAAGAATTTAGTATGTACGTAATGATAATAATAATAATAAAAACAATAATAAGAAATAAGAAATATATCGAGAACTCAATATTGTATTAAAAACAATCAAATGAATAGTACTTTTGACAATGAAATGAAAAAACACACTAACGGGATTCGAATTAGTGGTAGCGAAACTAATAGCAAGGGGGACAGATATCAAATAAAACAAATTGAAGTTTTCATTTTTCTAAAACCACAAATCACAGTAGATAAATGAAGTAGGTGCAAATTTGATTCACATTTAGCTTAAAAAATGGCAATCTACATTGTAGGGGGATCCAAATGATTCGACATTAGTTAGAAATAGAAAATGTAAGATAATAAATTTCCATCGACCTTATATACAAAAACAGATAAGCTGTTAGCTTGATATAATCATTTTTTTAATGACATGTTCAGAAGTCATTACTACCGTGACACTTTCAGAATAGTAATTATTAGGGGACTGTATCAACAACCAAAGAAAAGTAATAACTGATATGATATCCTGGAAATCTTTAACCTTATGCTCACAATCGATATTAAATCAGCAAGTCCCACTTCAGCCAGTCGCTTACAACGCAGAATTCGGTAACGCTTGTACATCGATTCGAGTTGTTAGAATGAATTCCAGAGTAGTAGAGGTAGTAACAGTATAAGTATTATCAGAAAAGATTAGGCACCGAAGACACAATTCAAGAAAATATAAATCGGTGAAATGAAAAAAAATTATGAGGAATTCAGAGGCTCAGAATCTTGGGGAAGAAAAAGGATGAATACGCCTAAGCTACTGCAAACGATTTTGAGCCACGTCATTCAAAGACAATTACACAAACCCCAACAAGGTAGTCTACATCCGTTAGAATGACTCAGTCCAACTGTCAGTACTGATGCCATGTTCTAGTTCGGACGCCCCTACCTTTCTTCCAACCTACTCTACACCACATAACATCGCCCGTCGATGTAAGCGATTGTTGAGACGTGTTACGCATGCCCAACCGCCTCAGTTAACGAAGACTTATTACCTTATCAATCGATTTTCCATCTTTTCTAGTACTCTATCCCAAACATAGACATTATTTAATTTACCCAATGGTCCCAGAATACATGAGCAAGGCTTCTAAGGCACTGACAATCGAATATTAGTAACCTACAAATATCTCCTATTCTTAATAGCTTACTTAAAAGGAATAATTAATGCATATTATCTTTTTAACATTCCTCTATTCACAATAAAGCATGGATATTGAACTAGCTGTCTACCAAAGACTAAATAAAGAGTAAGTGAAAAAAACGTGTAACAAAGATATGAATGAACGGATGCCATAACAGTCCCATATCTGCAAATCAATTCACACTGATCGTTCATGCATCTACACGAAAACATAGGTGATGTTTGTTTTGCAAACAACGGAAAAAATATGAATTAGTGAACAATATATTATGATAAAGCGGCAATGGTTCGTATTCTCGAAATACTGACACATACTATGTAAGTTAACTGATGAGATTATCAAAATAGGGTTTAACTAAATCATTATTGACTAATTATGCTAAAAATACGATGAAGCAGAACACAAATGTGAAAATGAAAAAGTTGAAATTGAGATTGAAACATGAAAAATTTATTAAGCAGAATATTAAACCATTATGTGTTTACATAATGGTTTCGCGATTTGCATATTAATAGAATTAATCAGAGTGAATCAAATCAGACTGCATATTGTAATAGAGCAACAACAAGAACACCTTTGGCTGAACTCTCGCGACAAACGTACTCGATATATATATATATATATATATATATATATATATATATATATATATATATATATATGTAGAGAGAGAGAGAGAAATGTTGTGAACATTTGAAGTTAAAACGAATTTCTGTGATACTCGTTAGCACACCATTTTAAAGATAATCTTATATAGTGATTATCATTACAGCTTACACAAAAAACCAATCATAAATTCAGTCTTGTTAGCTCACTAACGATCAATTTTAAAAAATGTAAGTATCGAAAAAGTCACTAAAAGTATTCAAAGTTATTTTTATAAACATTCGGATTCGTAATTTCATCTAATGCATCATCATAATATTTAGTTATGTAAACTACTTAATTATTATTAGTACCTTGACTGGTGTAACAGCTCATATATGCATATATATGTTAGACATTAAAGAAGAAGAATGTATTTTTAAAATCTCAGCCAATGGAAAAATACATTCTTCCTCTTTAATATTCCACATCAACTCGGTGCCCAAATACCGCGAAACTATTCGATTAAATCTAGATGAAAGTTCTTATGCATATGTTATTGAATATTAGAGGAAGTGCTGATAAAGATGTAATTGAAAACAATATCATTTGCCAACATATGTTGTTCCAACGTACAATATAGGAAGTTTTAGAACCACGGAAGTTAGAAGAAAAAGTAGTTGCAACAATGTACGTGATAACTTATACTACTTACAAATACACAGTAGCTTGAATATTATTTAAAAAATAAAGAATGGTGATAGTGTTTGTTCATCCTCTAACATTTAGTAAACTGAAATCCGTCTTCCAAAAATATTACATCGATAAACTGTGAAGTAATAAGGCTTTTACATTCACTATTCTGTAATAATGAAACGAGCTACAGTCACGACTATGAACTAGTCCATTAATTTGTAATCATATCAACATTTTGACTACTACTAAAACAGTACATAGTTAACTATAAAGTGCTAATAATTTCACCCTAAATTATTTGGAATCAAAACGAGGAACCACGTTTCCATCTGTGAACATATGGGTTACCATACACAAAAATACAAATGGAAATTCCGTCAAAATAAAACGACATAAACAGATAGGAGTGTAAAACTTACCAGAATCCAAATCTCGAGCATTTATCTTTCCTACCAAGCTTCCTAGTGGTGCATCTTCTGGAATAGCATTTATCTCTATGGCATCGAATATTGGTTGATTATCATTGATATCTAAAACAACTACTTTCAGATTGAATGAGCAACTAAATCCTTCGGGATCTACAGCATCGATTATAAGTTCATGTTCTTGACTTAATTCAAAATCTAATGATGTATTTAAAGTGACAGTGCCCTTGTGAGTATCGACGGAGAAAAAATTTGAATTCTGAAATTTACTGGTATACGTGATCATAGAGTTGTGAGCATCTGCATCACTATCTGTTGCATTTAATGTTGTCAAAATTGTGCCCAGTTTCAAATTTTCTGGGACTGAGATAACGCGATCCGGCTTCATTAGAATTAAAAAGATTAAAACGTTTTACAGGAATATACATGATATATATATATATATATTCAATAATGTATCGATACTATAAAAGAATGCTTTTTATTACCGTATTGTGATCATCTTTTAATTGAAAAATATAACAGAATGATCAAGGCAATTTCCTAAAAAGGGGGAATATTCCTATGTATATATGATCACTGTTCATGGTTCACATCCTACATCCGGCCGTCAGTATATATGGGCGAAATATTATGGTTCTAGTATTGAACAGATGACAAACATTGATTGAATAGAAACCATGTACTAATCACTGCACTTCAGAGATGTTTGGAAAATAACTGTAGAGATCCAGTTGATAAGATACTTACAAGGACGGATATATCTAGCAAGTTGAGCGAAATATTTGGGAAAATATGAGGAGGGAATAAACATCCACCTAACTTTTTAAAACATTCCCACCTCAATAGCGTTCTTACGCATGTAAACAAAATCATAAACACGTACTTGTATACATATTGGGATATTATCATTTGCATCTTTAACTATCACGCGTAAAATAAATAGATCTTGTGTAACAAACTGTCCATCCGATGCTTGAAATCGAAGAACATGAACAGATGATAGTTCTCTATCTAGTGGTTTGCGAAGACGTAGAGCACCCGATGGTTGTATATAAAAGAAACTATTCCCATGAGAATTTTGGGAGGATAAAGCAGGCAAGTGTTCATTGATGAGAGTGAACTTAACTTCGGACTGTACATCCTGGTCAGGATCCATTACGGATAACTGATAGATAATCTCTTCCTCTTTTGATGGCCACCAATTTTCTGAGATTTCAATTTCATCTGACAATATTTGACGCTTCCTCAAATCGACCGGTAAAATAAATTCCAAAGAATCATTACGGATTGGTGAAAGTGGCCAATAAGGTGGGTTATCATTAACATCACGTACAAAAATGTGTACTCGACTAGTATTCCAATGACCAGCAGCATCAGTAGCCATAACCTAAGTCCCGATAAATTTGTAAAACCAAGAAAAAACATTAGGCTACTCAAATGTATTTCAGTAGCGAAAGATGTCCACATAAAATACATTCGTCGTGCAGATGAAAATCACAAAAACAACAAAATCACGGAATAAAAAATAAGTATGAAACTTCTCTACAATATTAAAGGTAACAAACTGGCAGGTCAGGTCATACTTAAAGGCTTGCTTAACGGAGAAATTCGTTCAGAGACTATAAATGAAAATGGAAAGACCGAACAAAGCAATGATAGTCAACAATCGGAAAACACAGAACTTTACTATTCCTACAATAACTATTTATTTAATAAAGTGATGTGATCAAATTTCACATGACAACCAGTCAAATTCTAACAGACATATAAGTATTCATTGGCCTGTAGTTTATCATATATTGTATAGAATCACTGATACAATATTCAGATACATAACATGATAAACACTTAATATCAGTAATAGTAATCCACTTTCACTACTGAGATGATTCACCGTACATATATTACTTCATAATGAAACTTCTGAACACCAGTTTCGGAATGGAATATTTCTTATTGGAAAGGCTGTTGGAAGTTGATTGTCTTAGGAAAGAATTTCATCATGAACAGACATTTACAAATTAGAGAACTGTTTTGCTTTCCTTTTTATAAATACGGGCAATTCATAATTTCGTATTATTTTATCACTATATTGCATTCAGCACTTAGTATTAAAGATTGCTGCCTTAATCAAAGCTTTAGTTTGTAGTTTTATTTCGTTGTTTCAGTATTCCTTATTTTCTTCATTTTTCACTATCACGTTCATAAATGAGGTTCTAATTTACTCTAAATTGGTGTCATTTTTATTAAAACGATAGTTTCTATCTAAACAGCCTTATCATTATTCTTCATACCTCATCATTTCAATTTAACAACATTTAAAGTTACTTTGTCCAGCTTATTATTGATTATAAATATTTCATAAGTTCCATAAATTTCCTTTTTTTAATAACTATTTGCATATTTAAAATCATGTAGTCGAATTTCACATAACAACTAGTCAAATTATAACAGACATACAATATCAGCGAAATCATGAAGCGATCAGTGAAAAAATAGGAGCACTGAACGGCTGTTTCGTCCTAGTATAAGACTCCACAGCAGTGGGCACCCACGATACCGCACGGGAGACTCAAACTCAGGAACTTTAGTCTCCCGAACCAACACCATAGTGAAAAGACACAATTATTTGACTCTATAATTTATATAAATGAACTAGTCAAAATAGATTTCTTTCACGAATAACTTGTTCAAAGATGATAATTATTCATTTCAAAAGTCTTACAGTATATCCTAAAAGACTTTTGCTTAAATATACTACAAAGACTTATTGATATAGTATAACTATAAGTGGTGGATAAGTGGATTTCTGTAATATTCAGAAAAATAAACACAACTACTTTTATTGATCAACTGATAGACAGATATACCTGAAATATATGCTCACGATTCGATTCAAAATCTAAAAAAGATCTGAGTGAGATCCAACCTTTTCCATCTATTTTAAACAATTTACGTAATGTTTGTAATTCAGGATTAAATAAAATTAACTTTTCTAAATTATCCGACTGATCTTGGAAATTTCCACGTAAACTGAAATGTCCCGACGTTAAAGTAGATATTGGCCATAGAGAATAAGTGATGATATCTTGTTTATTGCCAGCATAATAACCACCCTGATCGTTATCAGCATCATCATCCATAGCTAAAGTTCGAAGGAATTTTACATTGATTGGATAATCCTCTGGTAAGTCAATATGATATCTAGAAAAATAAATATTTAGTAACAAATAAATTGAAAATAGGAGATAGAAACTAACAGGAGACAGTTCAACGTAATAATTGTGTCTGACAAAAAAGAAAACAGTCAAAAACATAACAATAACAAAAGCTTTCTTAAAACAGATAAATGTGGATAGACAGAATGAAATAACCGTAAATTAGTCATTCAACCTATTTGAAATCCGGATTAATACATTCTCAACCAAAATTACAACGATTAAAAAAACAAATAAACAAATAAATGAAAATAATAGTTTTTTCTCAGTTATAAATTTATTAAGTGGGGGACTTTTTTTTGTATGAAACAACCCTTAGGGTAAATAGCTAAATAATAGTTTGAATGCCAAAACTTAAAACAGAATCTACGACCATTTATGAATTTATATGTATATATATATTATTAAATTGCGTGTCCACAAAAAGTGAGTCATCTAATTTAAAACTGAAATCCGAAAAAAAACATAATGAAGTTAGATGGATAAGGAGAAAATGGTGATTTCAAACTATTTGCTTGTTTAAATAAGCTAAGCACGAATTTGACGAAAACTATTTTCATGCTTACTAAACATAGTAATCTAGCTTATAACAATTGTATTCTATACATCATCGCGTACCATGTTAGTTTACAATCAGTTGAAATATATTATATCTGTGTAAAAACAGAACTGATTTGTTATGAGTTTTTTTTCTTCTTCGGGAAATATACTACCGCTTAAAAAAGAAAAGAAAAGAACCAACATTCTGGATAGATGAAAAGCAAACACTTTACTAGACAACATCACTTTATTCGACAAGAATAAAAAATTTAGTTACATATGATATGGATAGGATTTAACAATCTTACGTTCTTGAATAGACATTACAAAATAATTTTTTTATTAGGTTACCGAAAAAGTTGATGATGTGTATCTATCTCATGCAATAAAATAGTTAAAGAAAAGTAGAAAAACTGTACGAATAAGTAATTTTTTGGCCTTGGAAATCATGAAGTGGCACTGCTTACGCCCCGTTTGACAAGCATACATTTTAAATGATGGATGAATTTGTGCTTATTTACGTAACGACCATGAATGAAAATGTCAGATTGGATATAGTTGTGTTTGTGATTGAATGAGAAACAATTTGAAGTTCACTTTAAAAAAAACTAGTCTCCTGTCGTTAGTAAAGCTCCTAGATCAGTTAGCCAGGAGGAGTGTGGAATGTTTATAAAATACTATTATACTGTCGAGAATTTATAGACTCTTCTACGAACTTTATACTTAAAAGCAACGATCGATTTCTTGAAATCACATCTGTCACAGATTTATTGGACAGGTTGTACTCTAAAACTTTCTGTTTGAGAGAAGTGCACCGAGAACACTAAGCAATATTCCGTAAACCCTTCACTAAAACAGAACACGTAGAATTAAGGTCATGGACACTGTCTAGTAATACACACTAGCAAAAAGGTTAAGCAGTGTTGATCAATCCTACCACTACATTATCGTAAATTAAGAGTATAAACTATTTTGATCAATGATGAATATGTCAACAAGATAAATAATCATAATGTTGTAATATGTGAAGAAGAAGTACTTTAGAATGAGAAATTTCAAAGAAATGATTTTGATCGACTTAATAGCATATTCATGTAGATTTACATCATCACATAAACACATTAAGCAAAAGTGTGGAATTACAAAAACGGCGAAATGTACAATATGATTTCAAATAAATTACAATAGATATTCTACTGTCACAGAAACAATAGTCTGTTGATTTATAAATTAATGCACAAACGACCAAAATTGTACGGATTAAAAATCATTTAAGTTAGGATCGTTTGTTATCAGTAAACCATGACACTAAACCTGCCGAAATTTCATTGAACTATAATATATGTAAACAAATATCATTCAACAATCGTACAGGTAAACATAACTGAAATTCCACGACCTTATTTCATACATGGTATGAATAGTATGGAAATAAAAGGTCAAAGGTCAATTTCTCTTGTTTAAATCTACAAAACTCAGTATAGAGATAGATATGTGGATGTGTGACACAAAATTTCTTAGAGGTCACCAACTATCTTACTAATTAAATAGGAAATCGGTTTCAATACAAATATTGTCTCTCAAAAAGAAAATGAAGACCAATTTCAAAGAAATAAATATTCAAACATAAAATTTATCCTTCAAAAGAATATCTAAATATTTCAGTTCATTCATTCCATGTAACTTTCGTAAACAGATAACATGATAAAAAATAAGTCTTTTTTATTGAATAAAACTGTTCGATGAAACAAACACCAAATTACTTATTATTCTATCATTACCAATAATCTTCTTAAATAGGCGATTAATTTCTTACATATGCTGAAAAGTCTGTCATCTGTTCTATGTAAAATGACAATATAAAGTTTAAGTAAATAGCAGTTATAAAGGCGATATTAGAAGGCAATTCATTGAGAGTACTGAATATAGCCTACAACCATATAAAATGTTATTCAAATAAATTTACAGATGCAATAATGAGAACTGTTTAAGTATTACGTCATGCACAGGAAATATAAAAACGAACTTAATGTAGTTGAAGAATAAAAACTTAGATGAAATAGTTATCCAAGTGCATTGTTTAGTGCTTAAAACAATCAGATTCCAACTAGTTGGGATCCCAAAACATGATCTACCTGCTTAAGAGTTTAAGAAACTGAGTAGTAGTAGTCGTAGTATCATTAGCGCTCATTATTAAAATATACGGCTCAACATAAATTACATAAATTTATACTTGGTAAATAAGGTGTACTAAATTAAATTAAACTAGTTCTCTTCAAGTAGGTTTAGTTCATGAGGAACACTATCGCCTAATCGGTCAATCAATATTCAAAATAACTGAATTAAATAAATTGGAATATTTATTCTATTAACAAAGAAATTATGGGATAACTTACAATGGAGAATCAAAGTATGGTGTACAATCGTTGACATCAATCAGTTCAATGGTTAACTTTGTACGCATAATGATTATAGGATTATATGCCAAAGCATGAAATTCAATATTTAATTCATATATTGATTGAACTTCATAATTCAAAGGTTTTATTGAAAATATTTGACCGGTTTCAGAGTCAATTCTAAAAATACTTTGATCATGTTGTAGTGGTAGTGGTGATATGCCAGTTAGGTGCCATGAATGACTACTCCAATTAGCCGGTTTAACTTCACATACACCAACTTGACGTTCAAACATAAAATCATCCTATATGAAAAAAATTAAAACGGAACATGAGTTAATTATTAGATTGAACATAATGGTATACATGGTACCATTCCATATTGGGAAAAAAACCCATTTTTATAAACTTGATTCAGAAACTCTAAAAATAATGATTTAAAAACCCGGCGATTCATATTTCATAAATTACAGTGTAAAAAATATGTATATTTTAACTATGAGGAGTTAAAACATAAGACCTGAAAATTGATCAACTTTTTACATAACTGTAGCATACCACCATTTTAGTGTTATTACACGAATTAAAATTTACAATAAAGCTATTCATACTGCAAAATTTTTATTAATGTGAACTTTTAGTTTGTCTAAAAAAGACCGTAAACTAATATTTATCCTACATTTTTCGTAATAAAAATACCAACATATTTTGTTGTTTGGTTTTAAAAAAACCAGCACAAAATATCTTTCCCAAGAAAAATTGATAGTTTTTCTCTGAAACTGTGATTTATACAAGCTCAATAATATCTTAGCGGCTTTATGTATTCATTTTGAGTTCATTATATTCAAATTAACAATGATGTCGAAAGTAATTTGTAACAACTTTTGTCTACGCTTGATTTAATAATCTCACAGTAGTCGGAGGAAGGAGTCATGTATGCAAGGAAATGATATTTGTAAACGACTGAATGACTGACATTAAAAGTAACTTCAGGGTTTAGCTCGGCAATGTGGTTATAGATTCTTTAGGGAAATTATCAAAGACTAATCGATGCCTTGAGATTAAACAATCGTTTGGTATATAATTGTTTTGTGAAATGTATATGAAATCGATCATTTGGTTGTTCTTTTTATGGTTTCCCCTAAAGAAGCTCCAACCAGTGACAATCGAAATGTTAGAGTTCTTTTTAATTTCAATTGCGGATATTTTTACAAATATCATTTGCAGTTTAAATCAAGATTTGACTTGAACTGTTATGGAAAACTATAGAAACTATTATTTCATAATTTGAAAAGACTCAATACTCACGAATAGTATTTATTACAAACTACGCAGATAAGTATTCACATGTAAAAAATGATTAATTTATAAAACTTTGTATCAGAAGGGGTTTCTGTGGATATTATAGTAATTTTAATAGTTGAGATCATGATGCCGGTTCAGTTTTCTAGAGATTGAGCGTTCGCGTGCGAGACCGATAGGTCCTGGTTTTGAATCTCGCGAGGCGGGATCGTGAATGTGCACTGCTGAGCAGTGCCGCAATAGGAAGAAACGGCCGTCCAGTGCTTCCAGGTTTTTTAAAGTGGTCTAGTTTCAATTGACTCATGATCTCAACTATTAAAATTATTATAACAATTTGTCTAATATTCTCTGAGTAAAATGTTATCCATTTAAAAAACGTGAACCATTGGGTTTTAGTTAAGTGACTAAGTAAGAAACAAAGCTGTGAGTTTTAACAATTCTATTTTCGAAGTTGATCGTTAAACATGTCAATGAGATAGTTCCTGGTCGTAAACAATTTATTTAGGGGAGTCAGCCCATATCGAAAGTTATTTAAAACTAAATATCTAACCAAAGATGGTTGGTGGTTAACAGTGGGATCCAGGACGCGCGTTTCGTCTCATCAGCTGGGTGTACCTGCATCCCAGAGTTGAGGTTCACTCCGAGATTCGAACCTAGTACCGTTCGCTTCAAACGCCATCACGATACCCACTTAGCTACTGAGTCCTGATAGGCGATTGCTTGTGTAATGGGATGAAGTTTGAATTTTTTTGGTATTGTTTGTTTGAATCGTCCCATTGACTGCAACTAAACAATTTGACTTATTATCCGCACAGGATCCACATGTGTCAATAACAGACTGACCAATTCAAACAAACAATATTGAAAGAATTTAAATATATAACGTTTAATTTCTGTATTACGATATACGTATACAGAGAGATGGACAAGAGAAAATGGATATCGGTTAAATTTACCAAACTTTATATCAGCACAATACAAAGGAAGATTATATGTTAGAAAACGAGGGAATTAAACATGCAAAACACATTTTTAAATAAACGATAAATGAAAACTTGGAATAATACCAAATATTTGGACGATGTTTTATAAATGTTTAGTGGAAAAGTTATTCCATAAGAAACTAACAACAAAGCAAGTTTAAGCGCAGTTGCCAAAATAAGGGATTCTAAGGAAAACAAGCAAAATTAAATTTCATAGAACAATCAATAACAAAATTTACCTCTAATAAACGTTGAGATGTACACACAATCTCCGGTAGAACAATAGATGACTGGTTAGAAATGTGTATGTGAATCTGTACAGGATTTGAGCAAAGCATAACAGAATCAGAATAAACAGGTGAATCACAAGCAACGACTAACATTTGTTCTTTCCTACCATCAGCAACAGACGGTGATAATCGTTCATTCAGTAGAAGTAAACCAGTAGTTGAATCGATTGAAAATCGTTTAGATTGAACTAACTCACTGGATGGTGAACTGAATATTCTATAGACAAGTTGAGCATTTTCTTCAATGTCGAAATCATAGGCTTTCAACTGTAACGGTAAAGTCACTGGAAAAACTTCCTCCTCAGATGGATTATACATGAATGGCAATAGCGTCAACTAAAAAGAGAATTCGAAGAAGAGTGTGGCGCGAGAGGGAATAAAAACAATGTGACTAACTTTTTGAAAATATATTCAAGTGAAATTTAACTAATTTCGTTTTTCTTCGTTTAAAAAAAATAACGAACTTATCATGTAGGAAAAAGTATATATATATATATATATATATATATATATATATATATATAGGGTCAGAAATTTGCTTTCTAAACTAACTCATGGTTACTTATCATCACAAGAAAAAATAGAGAAGAAACCACATAGATGAAACCATGGAAAGATGAGAACAAAGCTAAGTAAAGAAAGTGGAATGAAATTAGTGAGAGGTTAAACAACATTTCCACACCCTTATGATGATAACGCTGACGATAAATAATGAATAAAATCTAATTCAAAAGGGGACAGTCGACTGTATAAATCTAGGTACAAAATTAACACACATACATGCTTACAAAAAGAAAAGTTACTAGACTAATTTATATTCAGTAACCAGGATAAATTATTTTATTCAAAACTGAGAGAGATATGTAATGATGCAGAGATTATATGATAAAAGTAACAAAAAGAGTTATGACGTAAAGAAATATCCCGATATAAATAAACAATAATTGTATGTTGATCATAGCTGACTGTAATGTCACGTAGATAGTGAAAATGGCAGGAATCTAAATCAATAATAATAGTTTGTTATGAAGTCAATCAAGACGACGGTAGGGTAGTAACTTACCAATGATGAAATTAGAAATGTGAACTGTTGGTTCAAAGTTCATTGGCTCCATAATATTATACCTGATATGATACTTAAAAGTCATAATGAACAAAAGCAAACTAAGATGAAATAGATATACAATACTATCTGATTTTCAACGGTTCTGATGTCACCAGTTATTGATCGAAGCTATGCAATGATAGTAGTGATGTTGGATAATGAGGTTTAGATAAGAATAGTGAATTATATATATATATATATATATATTATTATTATTAATTGATATCCAATAAAGAGAAATGTAATAGACAAGCAAATGTGCACAAACACATGGACAAACTTAATGCAATGAACAATTAGATATTTTCAACAACAAAAAAAGTGATTTGGTGGAACGATTACAAACTGATTTACTTGATATTGTAAATACAAAGAAATAATGTAATTATTTAAATACTATAGATAAAAAACACTTGTATCAAACATCCTATGGGAATATATACCTACTTAGCAGATTTTATAAGACATTAAATAAGATACTGGAGTTAAATGCACATAACAAATGAATCATTTGTATTCTTATTTAAATGAATAAATCCTATTCACTCAGCATGATAAATTAGACATACTATGATAATTGGAATACAATATATGCTACATTTCATAGATTTACAATTTATAAAACATTTACAAATATATTTTGGATCATATTTGTTAATGTTTACGTCACAGGTTGACGATAGTTAGCGAACTATTGAAAATTAAAGGAAATATCACTGGTAAGCCGTTTCTTTCTAATTTGCGACTCTACAGTAATAAGGATTCGTGATCATACATTAAGTATTAAATCTAGGACCATTGTATTTCATGCAGTTAAAAAAATGGAGTCGGAAACTAATAATCCATACTTCCAATTTCAGTTAGGTCGGATTATAATCAATCCAACGATCATTCAACATTATCAGTGATACCAATTCCACACTCAATATGGTTAATCATCACTTATTAGGTGTGACTTCCCGCTAGAACTTCTGGGGTTTATCTAGATATTCGTTAGTTGATTAGTTGTGGAGACCACTTCTATTTCGCCATAGTTTTCATCATAAACATTTAATGCAATATCTAATATTCACAAAAATAATTAATGATTGAAAGGATCTAGTGAAGTAATAATTCAAAGTCATTTCAATAAAAAAATATCTACTTAATGTCATTAACTTATGTGGCGAGGACAAATAAAATACAGTGGACATTCCATATATCTTAATCCCTTGATAAACTTAAATAAAGCTAGAAGAACAATATTTACAGAGTATATAATTATTCAGTGCATTCACAAAACAGTTAACTAATATAAATTCCGTTAAATATACATCATTAGCTTAATTTCAATCGAAGTTAACTGGATTAACACGAGTAAAAATAAACAAACAAACAAAACAAAGATATAAAATGTAAATGTACTTACTTCATACTTGTCCTGTGCAAATATTGGTCGATTATCATTGATATCTTTAACAGAAATGTCTAATTTCATGAAATCCATTAGGCCGCCACCATCTGTAGCTTGTATTAGTAAACTATATTGATTTTTTATTTCTCTATCCAATGAACGAGTCAAACGAATAGTACCTTTTGTTGGTGGCAGGTAAAATTAATATGTTATGACAATTGTATTAACTATTAAGAATGGTGTTATCAAAACAACAACTGTGAACTAGATATGCACATACTAATTTATAATTGTACAGCAATGACAGATACATAGGGTTTTTGAAAAAAACTAAGCTGTTCAGAAATTGGGATTGGAAAACAGTAATGATGGTCGTTAAATTGACAATAGTAGAAATAATAATACCTTAACAAAAATTACATATATATTCATTGAAAAGAGATCCCTTCGCTGAACTTCGTGTTTTTAATGTTCAAAATGGGAATTTTATGTCAGTAATAATAATAACTTCTGAGTAAGAATCAACCTAAAAAACAGAGTAACGGAATAGCTAATGTTGTGACTATCACATCAACGTATAATGAAAAGTGCATTTGAGTTGTTGTATTTCAACTTAATTGTCCGATAGAGAGTATCAAAGATTTTAATTTGTTTACTAATTACAATTGCTAAACGGATAATTCAATACCTCTGGGATATAATTTAATGGAATATATATTAGAAAAAGAAGGGCAGAAGGATAAAAATAAAATATTGTAATAATAACACCGAAATGTACGGGCATCCAGTTGACGCATTTTAAACAGGACATGATACAATTTCTAGCCGCAATGGAAATATACTAATTACAACAATCATTTGATTGAAAACTATAAAACTATGATTAGACTCTTAGTCCTACAGTTGCACATATAGTTATAATAAAAGCGCACAAAGGTTTGATTAGTTTAAAAACACTTCTATTATACAGATGAGTTTTTGTTGCAAACTATAAAATCAGATGTGACAGCTTTGAAAATCAGTGAGAATTGGGTAATCGTTTTGTTCTGGAACTAACATAAGATCTTCAGATGAGAACGGAGCATGGTAAGTTTAGTTCACATTTTTGTTTTCAAGCAATTTAACTAATTAGCCAGTAGTAATGGGATGGAAACAATTAAGAACGAGCATTGAAGGTTATATATATGACCCTACGAGTTTGTAAACTTTGGGGCTTCTATTCATGAAAGTGTCATCATTCTGGTATTCTTCGCTCTAATATAAGTACTTATAGCTTCTGCTGGAATAGATGATGATTTAAAATATCTTGATCTATATTGTTCGTAAAACTTAACTTTCACTCTTGATATTTTGCTGCTGTTATCTATACCGTATACAATTCAAAGATACAAACAATTTAATAATAATATTGTTCAGTGACCATTAATTAATGTTACACAGCATGACACTGCGGTACTTCGTTTCCGTTATGATAGATTCCCGTTTGGTAAATGTTCTACCAGCTCTCGTGAGAATATATATATATATATATCTTCGTATACAATCTACGACTAAATGGGACTAAAAGATGCTATCTACTTGTTTAAAACTAAATTAAATCATATAAATTCAAACCTGTATCAATAACAGTGGTTAAACCGACGCAAATATGCTAAATATTAGAAAAACAGTAGGGCGATAAATTGTTTAATAAATGTGAATAAACATTTGATGTTATATTCATACGATGATGACAACCAGAATGTTAACAAAAACAATCGGTTTATGCATTATTTTTATTGAATAAACCTATCAACAGAGTACTTAGGTTAAGAAACCTACTTCAAAGGAAACATACGAAATAATATATTAATTAGATGTGATAGCTTTTTTCAACAATCACAACAAAATATGGAGAAAGGTGGTTACACACAACTATATCACTGAAAATAGGTAGACAAGTAAGAGAAAAAGACTTCCTACAGCTTTCCAACACAGATTTGAAAAAAATACTAGGTGTATGTACGCTGTGAACTGTTTAATATATTCAGTTAGTGGTGGACATATCTCTCCTTACGCTGGTATACAAACATACAACAAACACTTAACACCAACAAGATCAGCTAAAATTTTCTTGTATTAGAAAAACAGATGAATAAAGAGGAAAAAACTCTTTCGTCCTTACCATCACTAGGATCTATGCTGAACCATTCATGTTTATCACCACCAGCTATATTGTAGACAATTTGTCCATATTTACCACGATCCATATCTTTAGCTGGTTGGATTCGGTTAACAATTGATCCAACAGTTGTTAGCTCTGATATTTCCCACCATTCATATTTTGGTAAATGAAATCTAGGTGGATCCCAATTACTTGGATCCAAATGAACTATGACATCACATGTACTTGAATGTAGGCCATCAGTGACTTCAACCTATATAAGATATATATATGGAGGAAAGAGAAATATTTTAGGAGTTAAACAAAAATGTTCAAGAAAACAAACTGTTGGTGGACTGTGTTCAAATTCATTTTTTACTGCCATGCGGTGATGAAAGGAAATGGATTACAAACATTTGTTAAACATTTATTTATTTATTTATTTGAACACATAAATATTGGTACAAGAGGGCACCAAATATATATGCGCCACACTATGTTAAACATAGAGAATAATGAATTGGATAATTATCGAATCCATGATTTTTGTAAGGGGTTAAAGCGAGACAGCTTGCTCGGCACAATGCGCTTGCGTGCATCGATAAACAATTGAGTATCTAACATCCTATAAAACTTGTCATTCACTTAAAATTAATCTAATACCAGTTAGTTGTATAATTAAATAAACAACAGATTTAAGTGGCTTCAGACAAAACTAATAAAAACTATATATATATATATATATATATATATATATTCTTTTGATGATTAGGATTGCTATTGAGCAGTCTATTCTGACATGCGTATCCTATATTGCTGGTAAGTCACTAGGATTATAACCAGAGATGGATGGTGGCTAGTATAAATAACAAAGGAATATTGACTGGTGAATTAACCAATATGCTGTTAAATTAAATTTGAAGTGATTGAATAATCAAATAGAGTTGCTATATGAACTTTGCTTTACTCCATAGTTTTATAGGCGATTGATATTATTCACCTATTCAAAGCAAATTAGCTGAAACTAGATGGAAACAAACGACCTGATGGTTGAAAATCAACTGATTCATGTAAATCATGTACATATAGACTTGATATCTATATAAATTACTAAACGTAATTCAACAAGAAACATATAACATAAACACAAACACAGAGCACATAAAGACGACTGACACCTTCCCTACTGTATTGTCAAATAATAATAATAAATGAACTGAAGAAATAGCCAATATGAATTTGTAAAAGTATCAATTAAGAAACAACAAAGGGTCATAAAAACACATACAAACAAAAAAGACATTGTCATTCCGGAGTGAAATCAAGGTCAACAGGCTAAAAGCATTTCAAAAATAAACAAAAATCAATCTCGGTTGGACATAAGAAAATGGAAATAGAAAAAAAGCATAATCACTTTCAGTAAAATGAAAGGGGAACTTAATGGAAGACAAATAAAAACAATTGGTGTGACTCACTGTAAGAATGAGTCAAATGAAAAGATAATTTATACTGAGAAGCAAATACGTTTATATTGAACCTAAAATGTGCATCGAACATATAATCATAGGATACGCGTAACAAAGTCAGTACCTCAATTATAAATCAGTCAAGCAATAGATATTATCCTAGTTTAAGTTGCATAGCCTTGTGTGTCAACTGAATTTCACCAAGTAGGTTTATACCACAGTTATTTCGAAAACGAAGCACAACATATTTTGCTGACTCAGCCAAGACGAATGAAAGCGAACACTGTCTAATCTAAGTTTCATGTTCATTGGAAATCGTCCGGTAGACATATCACTATCTTCGCGAGAGTCAACGTTTACTCATAAATGTGGAACACACCTAATTTAGGAGACACCAAGTCAAATGAATACAATTATGTTTACATTTAACTATCGATTCCGAAACTTATAAAAAGATAATTTCGGAATAAAATACTAAAGGAGAAAAAATAGGGATGGTGAATTTGGAATAATACATATCCTTCCTGAATAGTTTATTTAAAAACAAATCACTATAAAAGTAAATAATAAACCATAACTTACTTTAATTTTAATTTGATCAATAGATATACCTGAATGAAATTCTAATGGATTAATATGATTCAAAGTTGTAATTATTTCATTTGTATTTAATTGTTTATTACTACTAATAGGTTTGCCAAAAATATTCACTAAAGGAATCCAACGTAATATACCACTATATTCATCAAGATGAAAATACAATGTTTCATTCTGATGAATTGATATAATATGATATAATAGTGAATCATTTATATCTGGATCTGTAGCAGATAATTGTGAAATAATTGTACCAATAGGTGAACGTTCATTTAATGCAACATGATAAACACATTTTGACTGAATAATATCAATGTTGCCCTGATTGATAGATAAAGGATTTTCAATTTTCAATGGTAAAAATGAATCGAAATACGGTGGATTATCATTGAAGTCTAAGATATGAATCTGAAAAAAAGAGAAAATAGACTGATAAGAAAAAAGAAACAATTTAGTAATAATAAACAAAATCTACTCCAAGTCATATGATCGAACTAAATTGCCTATAATGTAATATGCATGAGTTGTTGCTTGCTGGAGTAAGATTATTATTCATTTGGTGTAATTAGACTTCATTGTAAATCCGTTAAGTGTATTAAGCTAATCAACATACAAAAATTTATATAGTCTAATAACATTAAATAACTGGTCATAATAGATGGATTAAAAATGTGATCAGTAAAGTTGTTGGATAGTAGGTAGTCGTATCAAGATGAATTAAAACTTGAAGTGATGCTTAGAAGTTAGTACAAAGCTCAAAAATGCATAAGTTTATTGATAGATTATCTGCCAAACATATTAAGATAACATCAGAAGGACAAATATACAAATCATCAATGAATTACACAGATATAAAGTATAGTCCAGTAAAACCAAGTAAGGAAGAAGAAAATTGGAGAAAGTTTAAAAGGATAATATTATTTCAATCAATTGAATGAATCGCATAGACCAATACTGAAAGTTCAAAGAAACTTAAGAAATAAAACAAATTATCAAATGCAATGATAACTAACTTACATAAAGGGGAACACGTGTCACCAATGAATTAAGCGACTGATCAGAAGCAACAGCCCATAAAAAATATTCACGTACACTTTCAAAATCCAATTGTTTAGCAACAAATATATCACCAGTTTCTGGATCACATTTAAAATACGAAAGTAGACTCGAGTCCGTTAATGGATTATGTGACTCTAAACTGTATTTTATCTAAAAACAAAATGACAAAGAACAATGTGAAAAAATTATATTAAATCCAATCTTATTGTGAATAATATTAATTTAATATTGGTATTAAATAATCAAACAAACTAGTCTGTAATCGGACAACAATAATTTAGAAGCTGATATTTCAAATATGATAATCAAAATTTATTCATTATTCTAACAAGCTTAAAATGAGCACAAAGAAATACTAAACAGAATAACAAAATATGGAGAGTGAAAAACATTTTAGTCAGCACTTATCTATAATGGAACCTCAAAAATAAAATCATTCTAATTAACAAATATTTGTCAAGATTAGAAAAGTCACAAATAACAATATTAAAAATAAATTAATCTAGACATGTAGGTGAGAAATACAAAGAAAAAAAAAACTAAATAGTCAAATTCACTTGGTGTTGTTTTACTTGTATCTTCTCATTGTTATTTAGAACTGCGATTGATCAGTTTCATGTTGGCATATGTGCATCCTGTGCGGATTGCCTCCATATAGCATTAAGCCACAAGCTTTTTAAGCAAAGATACAAGTAAAACAACACCAAAAGAATTTAAACTTCACCTCATTACACAAGCAGGTGGCTATCAGGACTCAGTAGCTAAGTGGATAACGCGATGGTGTTTGAAGCGAACGGTACTGAGTCCGAGTCCCGGAGTGAACATCAACTCTGGGATGCAGGTACATCCGGCTGACGAGTCCCAAATGGGACGAAACGCAGGTCCTGGATTCCACTGCTAGCCACTATCCATCTTTGTTTAAAAAACTAAATAGTTAGATTAGTTGATTTCTCTGAAAACTTCTGATTATAATTTCATTGACATAACATAGATATGTCTTTCATTCGTTTGTTCCTTAGTCAGATAAGATTTTTTTAAACAACTATTTTTACAATGATAGTAGGATTAATGATTACGGAACAGAGTTAAAATAACAATTATTCAATTATCCTGATAAAGACAAAAGATAAGTGAAAACATCATTGAATAGGGTTAGCTCATTATACAGAAGAAAAAAGTGTTAGTAAATCATTAGGTGAATTAGTAGAGGTGATAACATGGTGATATGTGAAAATAGCATAACGTTGATTGTGCTGAGCAAAAACAAACTGGACGAAAATAATAGTGATGACTAGAGGAGTAACTGAAAAAAGTTTACACAGGTTTAATATAGATTATGAGAGAAATGATACTGGAACATAGGATAAAATAGGATTAAATATACATTTTTCATTATGTAACGTTTGATGCATGATACTAAAGTTTATATCATAATATTTATGTCCACAGGGGTATATAATCTAATCTATGGATTGAAAATTTTCTTAATCCATTGTATTATTTTATATCCTTTATATATCGAGTGATTACTAATCCGTTTAAAACAAACAATATAGTTAAGATAAAGTGGTTTTGTACAGATGATTTTAATCTGTAAATGATATTCTTCATGGATCGATCTCATTCGGGGTACAATTGGGAATCATAGACCATTAGACAGCTCTTTTATCATAGTTTAAAACTCTTTAAAAATGTGTAAACATGACCTCACCGGAGATTGAACCCAGAACTTTTAGCTTTCATCAATCAAGTTTTAGAACAATCAGACATATAATCACTAACTAGTCAAGATGACGTGAATAAATATAGGCTATTTAACTTGGATGATAAATCTATAGCTTTACAAATTAATAAACAGACATATTTCATGTCTAAATAATAAACCAACTAATTGTATACATTTGTAAATAGAGAAACGGATTATTTACTACGTTCATGTATCGATCAAAGTAGACAGAACGAATAAAGATTTTTTTAAAAGCCAGTGTGGAAAATATGATTCATATTTTTCTTAATAAAAATTGTATAATTAGGTTATAAGTGTAAATAATAAACTTTTAGGAATGAATATCTAATAGGGTTTTGTTATATGTGAAATGCTTGAAAGTAACCATTAGAAGAATATTGTTAGCATAAAGACTACATGAACATAGTTCCCGAAATGAGAAAAAGCATACTAGGACTTTATGACGAATCGGTTAATGAAGTAGTGAATTTTCATTGACTGGGGTAATCGGTACATTTAATACGTATTCGCAGCTACTGCCTAAAGCACAGTGGGTTGTAAAAAAGTTAGGTTCTATCAAGCCGAGATATACCATTAGTCCATAATGTCACTTACAGTTGAACTAAGCCATGTAGGTAGGTGTAAATTATTTATTTAAGGTCTACGCGATATTACTGTGGACAGTGATTGAAGATGCTAGGTGACAAGGCTCAACATCGATTCCAAAGGGATAATATATTCATTTTTTGTCACCTTTTGAATTCTGAAATTTAAAATCATTTCCTACTTTTTAAGCTGTAAACTAATTTTTTTCTCAGATCATATAATCTAAACATAACCTTTTTTAATATAACTGATTGTCTGGCATTTGTTTTGATAATGTCATCACAGTGCGCTGATATGGTGTAGAAACTTCAACCGATTCACATATGGAACGAATTGTTTATGACTGACTAATAATGACACAATAGGGCTATCTATTACATTTCATTTTTTACCAGCTGGTATAGATTTACTTCCGTGAAGTTCAGAGAGCAAATTTAGTAGGTGAAAATCGAGAGACTGGTTACCGCTTCGAACTATTAAATCTAACCTATGTAAACAGAATATAAATGAGATTTAGTCAGTTGTGTAAATTCACCAACTATAATTCGTTTAGATTAAGAGCAAAAGTCAATAGGTACAATGAATAAATGATTATTTTTACAAATTATCAACTTAATTAGAGATTTGTCCCATAATTTCATAAACCAACCATCAACATATTTCAAGTTTTGTATTATAACGTTAAAGGCCTATCAAGTCAACAATATTTGCTTTCTCAAATTATTTACTTGGATTCATGTGGGTCCTAGTGAGTTACTAACTTTAAAACAAGTGTAGTAAGTAAACAGATTGATATCATTTATGAATCGACGAATACGATGACCAAGTGAAATTAATATTAAAAATGCTCTACAAGAGAGAAATTAAAATAATAAATAAACGTTACTGAATGGATAAACCTACAATTTATTTCTAGTCTCGTTTCATTTTCCACGAAAAACGAAACAAAATAAGAATGACAATAAAAACGATAAAATCGAGGGGGGATAAGTAGTTACCAGTCATAAAAGAAAAGGATGAAAAAGGTAATAATTTCCCTATCCGTAATAAAAATCCATCTAATATTTGGAGAAAAAATATGTAAGAACAGTGAAATGGGATAATAATAATAATAATAATAAATATATGATTATAAGTGTTGTTATTATAACATTGAGACGTACGATCAGTTGTATTGAATGTAAATAATTGTCAAAATAATTTCAACAGAATGATAGATGATTTTCTACTACTGCTAATACAGATAGACAGTTGAATGTTAAAATGATATAAATTTTTATATGATCGACGATGTATGAAATAATTAATCAAATACAGACATTAAACTATACAAAAATAACTATATATAATTATATGAATGATTTACTTACCAGTCCTCCTAAATCAGAATCTGGATCATAGGCTTTCAAGGTTAGAATTCGATAACCAATGGGAACATTTTCCGATATAGACGTAGAATATTCATTAGTTGCAAATATTGGTGAAACATCATTGACATCCTTTAAAAAGACGAATTAGGATTCGACAAAATTTTAATAAACGAAATTAAACTTACTCAGGAAAATCACAACAACAACACTTCACGTAACAGTATAGAACGACTTAAAATAATAGGAAGTGATACTTTCACAGAAGAAAAATGTACATAATCACAAACAGAAATTTATATCCATGTGAATTCGTGTAGAAGAAACCAATATCTTCCTTTCACAAGGATAGTGATTGGAAAAAAGGAAGACAAAAGTAGAATACAGCAGGACTTCTAATCAACATTTATCTCAACTTCGTTATTTTCATAATGACATATAATTGTAACTAGAAATCAATCCGCAAACTAATTAAATCTAACTAATAAACACTGTTATGCTTTCTCGATTACAGATTAATATAAATAAAACGTACATTATAATAAAACGAGAAACTTACAGTTACGTTAATTATCAGATTTACACGAGCCGCAAAACCTGTTTGAGTATCAATAACTTCAATTAGTAATAAATAGTGAGATGAGACTTCATAATCTAAACGATTACTGACTCGAACAATGCCTGAAGCAAAGAAAAAAAATGACTGAGTAACATATGTGTGTATGGTAGAACACAGATGAAAATCAATCTAAATAATGCATGTAACAAAGAGGCATTACTGAAGCTTAGCCAATACAATGAGATGTTCAAAAATAAATCTTCAACTATTTTATTCTAGATTAACCGAAAACATCATGGAGATATTTTCTGCTTCTAGAAATAGATAAGATCTAGATAATAAAATCTGATTTTCAGTTCAGTTAGTCCTTTGGACTATCGATATCGTAAAAATAAGAAGGTAGATGATACTTCAACTCTAAATGTTATAGACTGGTATTACATTCTAAAACATATATAGGAAGTCGTTACCAGTAGAGTTCAACCAGGTCTGTTGTGAGATAGGAACTCACTGAAGACAATGGTGTACGGTGGCGCAACTTCGTGGATTGGTTGAAGTTACACATTAACACCGTTGGATGCCGGCTCAGTGGTCTAGTAGTTAAGTGCTCGCGCGCGAAACCAGTAGATCCTGGGTTCGAATCCCGCGAGGTGCGGGGTCGTGGGTGCGCACTTCTGAGGAGTCCCATACGGGGACGAAACGACCGTCCAGTGCTTCCAGGTTTTCCATGGTGGTCTAGCTTCAATTAACTCATGATTTCAACTTGTGAAATATATAGGAACTGCCTAAACCCAACATTTTTACAAGCACATTTATGTTTTGTACAAAATTAGTTAAGAAGGACACTGATATTAAACAATAACAATAATGAATAGTATGGTGAGGGGGAAAATGATAAAACAAATAAGACGGTTTTACACTTGTATCTCTGGTCTAATAAACTAATGTGCAGGAAGTAATAGTAACAGAAATGAATGCACTAGTTGGGAAAGTATGGAAATTGAATAAACTACAGAATGAGGTAGTTGTTGAAGAGAGCTAAAAAGATGGCGGATAGTATAGACACTTTTCCATTTTGAAAATAAACAAAGTGGGAATTCACAAAAAAGGAGACAAATCACTACTTGACCTCTGAAAAGAATATCATTTAGACATAGACAGTTACAATCTAAATGACAGACAAATAAACAAATAAATAATGACAGAATTATACACGAAAGATGTATGGTCGAGAAGAAACAAATGTATGCATGTTACCTATCAGGTTCTTTAAACTATGTACACAGTAACAGAACAGCTGGTGAGAGACTCTTTCATCGTCTATCTTCATTTCACATACATAGACACACATTTTAAAATATATGGATCCACTACATATTAACAGTATGAAAATAAATGCATGAAATGATGAGAGAGAAAAAAGCGAAATATGTACAATGTTAACGGAGGGATAACAATGATGAAAACATACTAGTTCACGGCATTTTTCCTTAAGAACCGAAAACAACATATATATTTTAAAAGAAAAAAAACTAAGCAAATGCTAACCATGGGACGATTAACAAAATAAATATAATAATAATGTTATATAAATAACAAAAAGCATGGTGAGTGATAACATTATGAAAGAATGACGAGAAAGACATGTCATACAAATAAAAGTAAATAAACAATTACTAATGTAATACACTGGACACCATTATTTTTTACATGGATCTGACATGATATACTCGTAGAAAGTGTGTGCATGAAGGTGATAGCACATAGACTACAATAATCATTTTTTACAACATCATGTACAACATAATGATAAATAATGATTTTTAACTGAAACGGAAATAGTTTTGCAAACACATTAAGAACAACACAACTAGCAAGGAAAAGAAATAGAATTTTACTTATTTGAAGTTCACTTACATGTGGCATTGTCATTATGATAAACTAAGAATTGTTAAAAGATAATTAATCAGTATTAGGGAAAAAAATGACATATGAATGCTCATTGATGAACAATGTTTACAAACAATACGGCGAACTTCATAAACATAACCGCTTAAGCATTGTAATATGTTCACTAGTGGTCAAATATTTGAATTTCAAGTGGGAAGTCAGGACTTGCACATGTAACCGACTCAGAAGTAAAGCACTACTTACCTAGTGACATTAGATGAGAATTGCACCATATCAGACAAGAATAAGTAGGTCAAATAAAAGGATTATGTGCTAAGAATAGAACCTTAAAACGGTTAAACTCATGGATCAGACAAATGAAAATATCTTTGTTAGTTCAATCACTCACCAGCTGTTTATTCTATAAGACAGTGTGATTGAACTTGAAATCAAAAGAGGTGACTGGTCAGCATGTTAGTTTCAGCATTTTTTCGATATACTCGAAATTAATGGGGATGAAAACTACATAATCGAAATAAAAAATACCAGTATATTAACTAATTATCTTTAGAATACTTCATTCAGTTTCTTCGATCACTCAGACATTCGTGTAAACTAGAACACTAGATTCAGGGTTTTACCAGCATTAAATAAATTTGTTTGACTCACATCAGTCAAACATAAAATTTCAAAAAAGATTGCAAAAGTGAACGGAAGCTGAAATAGGTGTGATCAGAGAAACGGTAATGGAAAATGAGAAGAAATGAAAAGCAAACATCTTAGCTTCGTTTCGCATAATTAATCGTAAATTATCCTCTATAAAAAACATTTACAAAAGAAATTCTCTCATGGGATATCTAGAGATGTAGCAAAAATATTTGATTTACAAAGTAATAATTAACAATAAAATTACAGGATCTGAAACACCGATTTTTTTATTACTTACAAAAAACTAGGCGATGACGTAACAGATTTTAACGATGAATTTTAAGGAAAGTAAGAACTTTGTTTTAAAATAAACGAGTAAACAATTAGAAATGATGAAAATTTTAGAATATCGAATATTATTCGCTGTACAATTTATATGATAGCAAAATACATTACATGACATCTGAAACCTATGTGGTTAGAGTGGATGCTTAAACCGCTAACTCACTAAGTGTAATCAAATTGTATATATCAATGACCATAACTTCTCAACAGTATCCTAATAATAATTACTATTTAATTACACAGATGCACAGAAAGTTAAGTAAATCTTTGTGATGAGCTAGATAAGAAGAACAGTCTAAGAAAAGTTGTGACAATGTACTTTAATAAAAGAACTTCATAAATTAGTGTTTTTTACCTGAGGGTGTTTTAACAATACTTTTCCAGTGAACAAAACACCATTGGGTGCGTGATGCAGATAATCAGTTAAACTGATGTAGCCTCATATTCTCATTTGTTGGTTTCTGATTAATCTAACGCAGCAAATTAAAGTTTGTGTACTCAGCTTTAAACCATACAGTTGATGTAATAGTGATACTTTTTGAATTCCCATACCGCAGTAGTGGTAGAAGTAGGAGTGAAATATAAAGCATTAGCAACTTACTAAATGGAAGCCAATTATTCTAACCACTTATCCGTCATCTCCATTTATTAATTAATATACTAACTATAGATAAAATTTCAAGATACATTCACTTACTTCTTGCTCGATGAGAAAGATGACATTAAAAAGAAACCATTCGACAAAAATGTTATTTATATTCTATTGTAAGATGTAATATAAATTTAGTAAAAAGAAAGTACTACACGCTATTTATAAACATAGCATGTTTTATACTTCAACAACGAAACTACCAAAATCATTCACCTGTGTTACAAATATTCTCTACCATCTAATACATTACATGTAGCTGGATAAAATCGACTGAGGCACGAGAAATAAAGACATGACAAAGTATACACACAACATAAATAAAGTAAAACAGTAATTATTCAACCAAACAACTTTAACAGTCGTAAAGCCAATTGATATACCAACGAAAGAATATGTAGTATATATTGTTGAAATATTACTACCTGAATTGAACAGTAAAAGGTAGGAAGAAAATATACATATTACTAATAAGAGGGGAAGAAATACGTTGTCGAGAAAAAAACAATTTTAACGATTTATTTTATATAATAAAAAGAGAAAAACAATCATGTTTTCGTAACGAGATTTTCAAGTTATTTTCATGCATCTAAAACTAGGATTATTCTATATATAATTATCATGAAGAGTATAATCGTTTAATTCCATGCAGAATATACAAAACTGGTAGTATGTTTTGAAAAATACAGTTCTTGTATCGGTAAATACAAGATAATAGGATATATGAAAGATTCTGATGAGATGAGAAGTTAACCGATAAATCATACATGACATGGTCAAAATACTGGGAAATTATGTAGATATTTATGTATTAAATTAATGATCACATAGAATGTTAGTTATAATTCAAGTTGGTCTATATGTGAATGTTACAGAAGTATGATTATTTTAAAGTGATTACCTATATGTCCACGGCTTCATTCGTAAAACTTTAATAGATTCAATCCTAAAGAACCTACACCAAATAACATTCGGTACTCAATAATACATCAATTGACCTGAGATTAGTATGTTGCAGTTACATGATTGATAGACAATCAATCACTAATTGACATATGGTACATTAAAGTACTTTTAATGTAATGAAAGTATATGTAGTCGGTTAGATAATACGTAAATTGTAACTAAAAGTTCCTCCCAGTGAAAATTCAATATCTTTATGAAATTAACATGATTGAGGAGTTTACATTGCAAAACCAAATGAATATATTAAGTTAATCGGAACGATCTTATAAATTTAACTGATAAAAAGCTACATAACATTTCAAAGAATCCAAACACTGGATAATAATGCCTATACCCTTAACTTTACAGTAATATAAATATTAATTCACTCAGGAGAAACTAAACAATTGTTGTGATAGGTCCCAATTACATTAACAAGTATTAAAGATCCTTATAATGTAAATTTTAAAAAAAGACAATAAGTATACAGAGTTCAACAATACTAGTTTTAACCGGTTCCTATCTACATCTTACCCTAGGGAAAAAAACAAAACATAGATTACATAATTAATAATAGAAGGATGATAGATAAGGCAGTAGTATTTATATACTTGTCATTATTATAATTTTTAACAAGTAAACAAATATTATGATTAGTGATGAAATGCACTTCATTGTGAATATTAATTAAAGCCACTGGTTTTTTCATAGGTAGATAAATAAATAGATGATATATGATTAGATTAAAACATGGAAATCTCCAAAATCGACATATTCAGGAAGAATTTGATTAATAACAAAATGTTTCTCAATTAGTAATGGTGACATCGGCCCTTGGACTTTCTTTACATAAACTCATTTTCAACTCATAGATATTGACTATCATGCTAAGTATGTTGTTTCCTTTTTCTATATCCTATAGATTTTTTTTCTGTATAATTTCGTACTGAAATTCATTGATTAAAATATGTAAAGCTTAATTAGTAATAATATTATTAATCGTAACTTTAGGCTATTTACAGCTGATGAGAAGTGATAAAATAGGGACAAGAAATTTCTATTAAGATACAAATCTTGTATTTTTTTTGTTGTTCTGTTAAAATTTATCAAGGGACTAAGTTATATCGAATTAATTGAACAGTTAATTATCGCCAACTTCATTATCTCAGATAACTTCCCCCACACCAAGAGTAATAATAATAATTATTATTATCATTATTATTAAAAGTATATGTAAAAATATAATCATTTAATTAAATTGGATTTTAAAAAATGCTGCAATCGTTGAAAAGAGTTAAGCAATCTCATCAGAAAGACAATAATATAATAATAATAATAATAATAATATACAATAGATATCAATACCAAGGTTGGACTTGATAGTTCCAAATAAATTGAGCATTTGAAAGAGTTAATAGTAAATATATTTTTCGTTATATCCAAATGATTAGTAAAATTGTATTTCTTATGTTTCGTGATTCAATGTAAGCCACTTCTTCAGAGCAAATATACAACCAAATGAAATTTACTCTGAAGAAGTGACTTACATCGAGTCACGAAACATCAGAAATACAATTTTATTAGTCATTAGGAAAGAATAAAAAAAGTATTTTTATAATTAATAATCTAAAATGTTCGTAAAGCTGTAACTATCCTATTCGTATATAACACATGAACATGTTGGTACGATAAGGTTTTTTTATTACCGTATAAAAAGACTAGGCTTTCAAACATTTTAAAACAGTTAATATACGGAAGACTTCGGAACAAATTAATGTGGGAAGAAGAGAGAATCTTTCTGTTTTAGTTAATTATAAATTTACCTTGAAGTGATAAAAATACAGTAGGAGTAAATAAATCTTTGAAAGTGATAAAGTTAAATCAGAAAATTTCCAATTAAAGTGAGTAACAATGAAACATGATTATAACTTCAGATAGACTTAAATATTACATGCATCAGACTAAATTGTATATTGTTACCATAGAATTTTTTTTCCTTTTTCATAATTTAAGATGACCAATAACAGAGACCAATTAATCTGAGACTACTTTTGAATTCAATATTCTATGTAAAATCAATTTCATCTAATACAACACACTATTCCTGATCGGTAACCTCGAAATTCAATACCATTTTCTGTTACTTGATTTTCTGAGTTTATCACAGCTTTCTCAATTTGAGTAAAGGGTAAAGGTGATGTGGATACTCCATTGTAAGAAAATATTTTAGAAGTGAAAGCTGATAACTACAAAATACCTACTTATCTTTTAGAGAATCATCCCATTCAAACAGATGTATTTATCAGTCATGAACAGAACTCCGGGATAGTCCTACTCTCATAAACAGTGTAGTGAAAATTATGTATAAATAGCTTCACTCAATAGATTACTTACATATGTAGCAAATAAAATTATTATAGTAGGAAGTTGTCGAGAGAGAACGAGAAACGAAAGTTGTTCAGGT